AGACACCCTCCTAGATAGCAAGCTGTCTATCTCTCTCCCACCCTCCCTCCCAACGCATAAGTAACACCCAAGCCTCAGCATGTTCAGCTGTCGTTTTTGGGTGGGCTGCTACTGGGAATCACAACCGACCCCATGTGCGCGATGCTGGGGTGAGGTGCGCCACGCGTGCCAGGCGCGCAACGCGCGCGAGGCACCCCTGGGGCCCGCACGCCTGGTGCGTCAGATGCGCCACGTGCTCCACGTGCGCCAGGTGTGCCGCATTCTCTAGCCGGGCCAGGTGCGCCACGTTCGGGGCACGCGCAGAATGTGTTAGGTGCGCCAGCGAACGTGACAGCGCACATCGGGAAATATGTCGGCCCTTACCGTCCTTGTCGGAAACCAATGCTCATTCTCGTGTCTGGTGGGCCTGCGCACAGCAGGCCATACGCCACCACCCCCGCCGCCCCTGTCAAACACCACTTCACAGTGATCGCGGGGTGGCCGCGCATGATCCAGATTTAGTCACGAGATGCATGTTGTACTCTCTTGTGATAGGAATGGTGGCCCTGCGCAACGCAGGTAATATGCTGACCCCCCCCCGCCGTCCCTGTCAAAAAAAACAATGCAAAGTGCTCGCGGGCCTCACTATCATGACTCAAGACGTTGCCCCGAATTGTATTTTGTATTGTTTTTCAAAAGGGATGGTGGGGGTGGGGGGCGCATCGGTTTGTTTGCGCATGCTCCGAATTTGGAGGCAGAGTGTGTCTTGTATGGTTTTTCGAAAGGGATGGTTTGGGGAGAGCATAGGGTCGGCAGTGTTCCTGGTTTGCTGCCCGTCGCCTGGGGGAGGGTGTATGCATCATGTGGGAACAGTGATAAACCCCTCCCCGAAAGTGGAGAAGGTGGGTTGGACAAGGAAGCTCCCCAAACCACACTCGCCCTCAAGGGCTGGTGGGAATGCCCTTCCTCTGGGTGGAGAGTCGGCCCGCGAGTCCGGCATGTTCTTCCTAGTGGCCATCGTGCGTGCCATGAGTTCAGCACGCTTGGCTCGGGCACGGACCTAGGTCTGGCACGGACCGGCCAACGACGACCACGACGACGACCACGACGACGACGACCACGACCACGCCGACCACGACGACGACCACGACGACGACGACGACGACGACGACCACGACGACCACGACGACGACGACGACGACGACCACGGACGGCGCCCACGACGGCGGCGGCGGCGGCGGCGGCGGAGGCCGCCTGCGCCTCTGGCCCGTCGCGGGCCCTCGGCTCCCTAGCTCGGCCGCAGGGCGCGTGCGCGGAGCTGGCGCGGAGGCCTCCTCCGACGAGCGAACAACACACAAACCCATACAGTCGGAGCGCTGCAGAAGGAACCCTTTTCGTTGGGGAGGGGCTCGGTGTTCCTTGAATGTTATGCAGTTTGCCTCCGGTGTTCCTGAGGTTTTCAACTGGAAATCGAAGTGTAACTTGTGGGCAAAAGGGGCCTCGTTCCTTATTTCTCCTTCCTTGGGTCAACGCCCCGACGGTTCCCATAGGGGGAACGTTGAGAGGAGGACTGGCTATGGGTATGGGTGCGGGTTGTCGGGTCCTGGGGGGCGCCTTTCGAGCGGGGACCCCCATCCGACAACACGCACCCATGGCCCGCTCCGTCCCACCTATGGATATGGGTGCGTGTGGTTCGTTCGTCATCCTCGGCTTCGCCGCGGTCAGCGTCGGCGTCAGCCTCGTCGCTGCGTGCCTGACCTACAGTCGGCCCTGATCAGTAGGTCGGCCCTCCCAAATCAAGAGTACCCCTGTGTCCTGTATCTCGCGACCCATGCCTCCCACGTTCCTGTGGCAATGCGGCCCTTGGAAGGGTCTCGCGTCCTCTCGCGTGTCCTGCCCAATGAAGTCCGACCGTAGGCTCGGCAGAGACCTGGTGCTGTTGTACTCGATAGCCTTTGTTGTTTAGCTTGGGCCCCTCTGGACGGCCCTACAAGCGCGCCTGACAGACAATACTATAACATTCAGGAGGAAAAGAAACACACAGACACAATCAATCCTCGATTCCCTAGGAAAATATAGGAAACTATGGGAAGTAAGGGGGAAGACAAAGAAACCAGAAATATAGGAAAAATATGGGGAATAGTTTTATTTGTGTGTGTATTTATTTGTGTGTCCTGGGGCCTCTTCATACAAGCGCGCCTGACAGACAATACCATAACATCTCTGCTCGCTGCGCTGCCCGATGGTCGAACGATCTGGATCCCCGCGCCCACAGGTGCTGGAGAGTGGTCTTGCCAGCGCGCGAAACGCGCTCGTGCTGCCTCGCTCTGTCTCAGTCGCTGTCCGTTCTCTGTCGGCGGTCCTCCACCTCCTCCTCCTCCTCCTCCTCCTCCTCCTCCTTTTCCTCCTCCTTTCCCTCCTCCTCCTCCTCCTGCTCCTCGTCCTCCTCCTTCCTTCCCTGCTCTCTAGTCCTGATGCCTTGACGGGTTGGTATAGCTGCGCTCCGCGCGGGCGCCGTCATGCAGGGCGCGGGCGCCGCCATTCATTCAGAAGATTGGACGCCCGGGGAACGAATGGGTTTGTCAGGTCGCCGACAACACTGCTCTGATAGGCGGGAACATGCAGCATGAGTCCGGATGGAGGGCCGGCGTGAGCCAGCATTGCATGTCTTAGTTACGTCTACGCGCCATTCGGCGTACGATTCGTGGGTGAGTGAGTGCGTGACGACCTCGTCGTTCTTCTGCAAAATCAAATACAGTGGAGACCCATGCCAAGAATCACCCTGCTTGCCTCCAGGGTGCCCTGGGCTTCTTGGCATTCGATGGTTTGCGATGGAACGCGCGACGTGCCCACACCAAAAATCAGAGGACGTTCCGGATCTCAGGGTCGGGTTTCTTGTGGACGGGCCTCCACTGCAGTTGCGTTTGCGCGCCATTCGATGCACGAGTTGTGAGTGAGTGAGTGGGTGACGTACTCGTCGTTCTTCTTGGCATCGCTCGGACGTTCATTTGGCGAGGACCATCGAGGAGCATCCTTGATCATTTGGCGAAAAAGCCACGCACGAAACCGAAACAAACACAGGAAATAGACGTCCGAGCGATGGCCAGTCTTGTGCAAAAGCAAGCAGCTACACGACAGTGTTCACGCATGCTTGCAGATATGTTCACTGCCCTGGGCGGGGGGGCAGAGGGGGCTACGGCACCCGGGGGCCCCGCCCCCCTGTTTCCGTGTGTGGTGGCCCATGCAAGCGGCTGCAGTCAACGCGCATAGTAAGGACGCGCGCCTTTTCTAGGGTACCCTTGTGTCCTTGCCTCTGCGGCCCGTCGTTTGCTGTTTCCCCTGGCCAGCCTCTCAGGCCGCCGCCCAACAAATCCCAACCTCGGCCTCCAAGGGTCTCGCGTCCTTACCACCCGTCCTTACTATACGTTTTCACATTATCTGTTTGCGGTCGCCGCAGCGTGCCATTGTTGTTTAAAGTGACGCTGAAATTGAAGTTGAGGCGAAACTGCATCAGATCGGACGCGAAAAGTTAAAAAGCGAATAGTCATGGTAAAGCATGAAGTTGGAATTGAGGCCGCGCCTATAGTTGGAGCCATGCCACTGGTGTCGATGCCCATCTTGGACTTCAGCTGAAGGTCAGTCACAAGCCAAAGCCCTGCCTGCAGGAGAGGTTGAAGCGAATGTGTCTGTGTAAGTACAGTTCAGTTCTAAGGCTACAGCGGAAACGCAGGGTAAAGCTGACGCGAAGGCGAAAACGAAAGTTGAAGACAGCTCGAGCAGATGGCAGCCAAATGTCGAATGACTACCTACGGCTTCGCAATGCGCAATTCAGCCAAAAGCATAATGACAGCTATTGGTTAATCAGGTAAGCATGAGTAGATCCGCGACGCTGAACGCTAATTTATCCTAGGCAAGTTCAGCGACGTAAGATAGATTGCGAAAGCCGCAGCGACACTGCTGGAGCTAACAAGGTAAATGATGCAACAAGCATGGATCGCACATGCGAAGAACACTTGGAACTAAGCCTTGTGCCAACTTCTTGCAATCGGCCAGAAGCTGGTCGTGTGGGTAGCTAACGTCTCTGTTCCACTTTAACGTCTACTCTCCGGCAGCCTTCCTCCTTTGCGCACGAGGCGCCCTCTTTCCATTCCTCGGTCCGTACGGGCACCCCAGTGCGCGTCAGTGCCTGCTGCGCAGTTCTTGCACCAGCTCGGATACTGATACACATTCTGTGGCCAGCTTGGGCGAGAGTTGGAATGGCACGGGGCGACATGTCCTTCCAGCGATCGGCCGCCGTGTGACCTTGAACGGTGGTCCTCCACCCGTGTACCGAGCAGGTGGCCTTCACATGTTCCGCATGCGAGCCCCAGAAGGGCCGGGCCACTTCCTTTTCCCCGCCGGCACGCGCGTGCCGACAGTCTTTTGCTCGGCTTGCGAGTCGCTTTGGCTGTGCGTGAGTGTGTGTGTGTGTGTGAGTGGAGGCCTCCCCCCTTTTCCACTCGTCTAGTGTGCATCTGCCCGGCGAGACCCTTCAGCTGTTCGACCGCTTTTGCCGCTGACCACAAGTGTGCGTGTGGGCGTTTGTGTGTAGGTGTGTAGGTGTGTGTATGTGTTTGTGTGTATGTGTGTATGTGTGTATGTGTGTGCGTAGGTGCATGTGTGTGTGTGTGGTTCTGTGTGTGTGTGTTTCTGCTCCCCGGCTGTCCTGTCGCCCTGCCCCGTCGCCTTCTGTGGCCGGGGCGGGCCCCCTTCGGCTCGCCGCTCCTGGCGCGCCCTGCAGCCGCGAAGGCCTCGCAGGCCTAGAGGTTGACACCAACACCAAGATCGGCGGCGTTCCTCCACCGAGGGAAGAAAATCCCGATCTCGGTGATGGTGGTAGTATTGTGGCTTCCAAGGTGACCGACATATTACCACCAACACCGGATTCTAGGATCGTCTCCACCCTGTGGAGGCAGCCCCCGTGTCCTGGTGTCGGTGCCCATTTCCAGGCCTCCAAAAGCCACCCCCCCGCTCCTCCGGAGGTCTACTTCCACATGACCACGCTGTCGTCGCCCGCCCAGCCGGGGGACACGTCGCTCGAG